CAAAATTGTCGAATGCGTATAAACAGAAGTATTGAAATCCTATAGTTAAACTCTACCGGTTCCGGCATAAGTTAACAGTTATTGCCCGCATAAACCAGGCCTAACTGTTAACTTATGCCGGAACTGGTAAAGTTCAACTATAGGATTTCAATGCTTCTGTTTATATGAAATTGCCGAATGCTGAATAAATAGAAGCATTGAAATCTTATAATTGAACTTCATCAATTCCGGCATAAGTTAACGGTTATTGTCCGGGCTGCGTTCCGTTTCACGCATATGCGCGCATGTATTTAAAGTACACGTTATGTATAGTATAGATAAATGCGCGCATATGCGTGAAACGGAACGCAGCTCCGCATAAACAAAACCTTATAATCAAATTCAATTATTCAATTATGATAGGTATTTTCGCTTTTACGGGAGAATCATGGAAAGTCCCGACAAACACGATGAGGCTACAATCAAGGCAATAAGAGAGAATATTGAAGGTTTGTCGCGAATATCTGGTGAGAGAATTTGGAGCGAATGGAACAAAATTCTTACAGGCAATTTTGCCATGGAATTGACTGTGAAATTACTTGAGTGTGGTGCCAGCGAACATATTGGTCTACCCAAGGATCCCGATGTTGACAACTTTCGAACTGTTTTTCGCCGCGCATTGTCCAATCGAATAACTCTGAAACCTATATCTTTGATAGTATCGATGCTGAAGAACATGCGCCAAGTATTGAAATTGCACGAGAGATTGAAACTGTCCAATTCCGATAGAGATTTGGCGTTCTTTTTGATTCAATGCAGAGAATGTGGACCATCATCTTCTGAAATATCAGTGAAACCTTATCAGCTACTTGTCTTTACTCAGCCGACACATAAATATGAAGTTTTCCGAGAATACACGAAAGAACTACTTAGGTATCGTGGCGCAATCGAGCTTTTGCGCGAGTTCGAACAATGGACAGTTCCACATTTTCCCATCAACGGCAGTATGTTGAAAGATCGTGGTACAGAACACAAGTTAATCGGTCTTGTTATTACGGAATTGAAAAGACTATGGGTCGAAGAAGATTTTCAACTTACAGAAAATCAACTTTTGGATCGTTTACCAAAAATATTGGATAAATTGAAAGAGAAACACCGGATAAAAGAAAAGAAACAGAAGAAAGAGTAAAACGGTTTTATCGTTATTCTACGGACGTAACGGATTGACTCGTATCAACGAGTTTCCTAAGGGCTGTTCTACAATAAGTCGTATGTCGCTGTCAGACATCGGGCACAAGCGTATAGAGCTGATTCGTGTCGTCGAGAGCTGTTGTAAGTCAAGTGGTCAGCTCAACACACTTATGCCCGACGTCCAACAGCGACATACGACTTTATTGTAAAACAGGTCTAACAGTCAAAAATAATTTTTCTATGTACATATATCTAAGTCTGTATTATTAATTATAAAAATTGTGTACAAGGAAAATACAATATTTTCTCTAAAATTCCAATCAAAAAACGTTTTTTTGCGTTTCTTTTATGTTTTTAAAATAAATTGAATATATATATTCAATATATATATATACAGGGTGTGCCAGAATTGGCGTGACATCTTGTAGGCAGGTAGAAGGAGTAAAACTGAGTCAAAAAGTCCTGAACCATTTTTTTATATTATTTATAATAAAGGAGTAATTATTGAGATCAGGCCAATCAGCGCCGATCTTTAGCCATTCGCACGTCAGTGAACCGCGCGGAGAGCTCAAACACACCAGGCGCGTGGTTCACTGACGTGCGCCTGGCTAAAGTCGGCGCTGATTGGCCTGATTTACTCAACAATTATTCCTTTATTATAAATAATAGAAAAAAAATGGTTCAGGACTTTTCGACTCAGTTTTACTCCTACCTGCTTACGAGACATGTCACCAATTCTGGGACACCCTGTATATAGAAATAAGTCTGTAATATAGAAAAATGCAAACATGTAAATATTCAATTATTCTCAATTCTATCTAAAGAGACGGAGGCAGTGAAGATTCCTTTATAGATTTGCGGTTTTAGGCACTCAAAAATTTATTAAGGAATAAAATCCTGCATTTTGTGAATACAAATTCTACGAGATGTGCTATACAACGTTGTAGCGTGTGTGCACGAAATAAAATTTGCAAAGCTACTATGTAACATTAAAGGATACAATAAGTATTCAGTTTTGTACTCGTGTATCGAGTCGTCAATAAGTATAAATATGACGAATCAGTATATCGCTGAAAACTTTATACGTCGGAGAATCACATCGATACTAAAAAGTACGATCATGTAAAAAAAAAAAAAAAAAAAAAAATTAGTACATAGTATGCCCGAGTTTTTACAAAAGTTCTCTTTGTTGCGCAATTTTCATTACAACGCCTACCGGCTGTAAAGGGACAGCAGAACGCATGACTCTGCGATACACGTGTATATTGTGAAAAATGAAAGCAAAATAAATTGAAATTATGTTTAAAATAAACGTGAGATTGCAAACATAATTTATCTGTTTTTGACTGTTATATAACATCATCTTTGTTTGTTGACTTGCATAAAAATAATCACTTATGTGTATATATATTTTGGCTATTTTTTAAATTACAGTTTAGATCGTTCCTAAACACTCAAATCTTTACAGATGCATACGCATTACTACTGCATTATATGCAATGATATAAATGTACATATATGTATATATATATATATACGTATATGTATACATATATATACACATATATACGTGTGTATATATATATATGCACACAAGTACAATAATATAACAGCTATTTATCGATACTCACATCATAATACACGTATTCTTTACATATTTCTGACAGACACTTCGCGATATAGCCCTGAACTCTGCCAAGTGTTATTACTCTGGGCGCTTTCTGTCTTTACAGATAAAATTGAAAGCATACACAGGATTCTTCTCAGACTGCGTTTGCTTTATCTTAACCCTTCTTAATAGACAATTACTACACGAGTTGCAATTTAGAGAAATTCAAAACATTCTTCTCTCTGGTGCTCTGGTGTTAGTAGCTATTTGTAGAAGGGTTAAAAATTTGAAAGAATAAGAGATCAAATTCGAGAAGAGTATATATCTACAAACCCCTTTGAATATGCAAAAACACATAACAGAATTATTACAATTGCGTCTGAAAAAACTTTCTTTGCGAATGAGCTTGCATATTCAAAAGGATATTTTCTCGAGCTAAGAAATACACAATGATTATTATTGCACCTCATTTGATATTTTTTACACAAACAATTTTCTGTGAACTAAATAATTGGAATATCTTAGAATATCGCAGAAGTAATTCTAGAGAATTATGCAAACTGGACTTATCAAAATGCAAATATAAATTTTGTGAGAAAAAGTTTTTACACTAAAGAAAATCGAGAAATCTCATCGATTATACACACTGTGTCTACACTGTATGATTCTCTTAGATTAATCTCTGACCTACCGAGTAGTTGTTGGATAAGTTTCTAATAATGTTCACAGTTGTTTGATATACCACGTACAAACGTTTGAATAAAAAAACAATGTGACGAATACTTGAAACTCATAAATTAAAAATCGTGTGTGTATGTGTGTATAGCACGTAAAATACTTTTGCCAAATAAGTATTATTTTAATATGTCGATCTAGAATTACAGTATTTTTCGCATTGTTCTACCCGTTGTGACATGTTGTACAAAATTATTAAATTATAAAAATAATTACATATTTATATTATTAACCCTTCGCAAACAGACATGAGTATCTCAGACCTACTCAAAAATTTCAAACCGGTGTCAACTTTTTTTTTTTTTTTAACGCTTATATCTTCGAAACTACTAGAGATTTTATCAACTTGGTTTTTCTTTTGTTGACGTAGAATTATTCACTTTTGATTAAAAAAAACAATTGCAAAAAAAAATTGATTTTTCGCAGAGATTCCAATTTTGAAGTCGCGAGTGTCTTACAGACCCAGTGTGTCCAACTAGTAGGTCATTTTGAGAGTCTGTCTGCAAAAGATTAACTTAATAACTTTTTGCATTTGTTCTTAAAATTATTTTAATTCGGAGTAGCGCATTCGCTCCTAGTGTAAAACATACATAATACAACATATATGATAACTAACGATAACTAATTGTATACAACTACAAAATAAATAAACAATCTGAATTGGATTTACCTGAGACTGTGTATTAAACAATTATACATACATATAAAAAAAATCACACAAATATAAAATATATATGTAACAAACTTTTTCTTCGAGGCGTGTTCATTGTCAGTCTATATACCGACAATAGATATTTGACAAAATAACTCTAATTCAAGCTACAGAAATAAGAATACTAAAATTTATCGTAGCGATAATCATTATTGCATTGGTAATGTGATTACACGCATGCACACACATACACGTACACACACGCGCGGGCGCACGCACACATGCACATACACACACGTGTGTAGAAAACTTAATAGAAACTTTGGCGTTTATATTTCATCACGATTTATAGTGCGACTAAACATTTGCTAATGCTAGTCTGTAAGTAATACTCTTTTATGTTTCAACAAGTAATATACGATGAGTAACTTAAGTACTAAAGAGAAGTAAACTTAGATATTGGCCACTCAGCAGACTGAGCATATCAGTGAAAGCTTAGTGATGATTTAATATGATTGAATCTTACCTTTAGATCTTCACTGGATCTAAGATGCAGAAACCAATCATATTGAAGAATCACTAAGCGCTCACTGATTTGCTTAGTCTGCTGAACATGGGGTGCGTTCAGACAACTCAACAGTTGAACAACGGTTGAGAGATAATTACTTCTGATTGGATCATACTTTTGGAATCGAAGCAGATTTTGAAGAATAGTCCTATCATAAGTGATGATCTCTCAACCGTTGGGTTTTCTGAATGTAACCATGGTCATTGTCTTACTGACATTGAAACATATGTCGCAACATACTTAAAACTGATTCATTTTGAGATCCTAGATTTCGCACGTCGCATCATTGAAACTAATTACAACCTAACGATAGGGGTAAGAGATACAGTGATTGGCCACTTAAGGAAAACTGCACTATATAGAGTGAATTATAAAATTAAATTTAATAACTTGAAGTAAACCTTCAGTACTCAAACAAACTATAACAATTGCAAATAAAATAATACATATTAGAAAATTTGAAAACTTATTTAAAATTTGATAAAATATTTCCTATAGTCAAAATAGACAGTTATTGGCCATATGAGTTCTGTTAATATCTGTTTACATAACAGTTATAATAAATTTTTTGTTTTGACTTACAAAGATATAGTAATGAATATTTTATTTATAACACATTAAAAACTAACAAACCTACTTACATTTGTATCTATAACTCAAAATAAGAGGTCAATGACTGTCACATGGTTTTCATAATCTTAAAAACAGTGATTGGCCGGTTGGCCAATGTTTGTCGTATAATAATTTTTTGAGCTTCTTAAATACTATAATATTACTTTTATTCGGAGCAGAAAAACTTAATTAATATTAAAATGTTTATAATTTAGAATATAATAATAGTATTTATTTATATTTATTACTTCTTTAATACATGGCCAATTACTGTTGGGAAGCCAATAACTGTACTGTTTACCTCTACAATTTTTCATTACTCTTTCTATCGAGTTGGGGGCATTTACTATGAACACGTCAAAATATATTATATAGCCTGTGCATACTACTGTCTTTCTTATTTATTTGAAGTTGCTAGAAGTATTTTTTTATTCATTACAAGGTATGTTAATTCCACGGATAGGGGCGATTAGCCATCGTTGCGAACGCATGTCCAGGCATGTACGCGAAGATATCTCGCGAACACACTTAACTCACGCTGTGACATCAAGGGTATATGAATAAGTGTAACTTACAAGTGGTCAACAATAAGAAGCACAGTTTAACAAATAACTTCCTTCTACATTTTTTGCCATGAAAACTTACTCTACGACCATCAACCCGCGTTGCTCAGCGACCTATCAGCGAATGAAGTTCATTAGTCTGTAAAAAACAAAAAAATCGATATTACTTCTTGTGTAACGTACAAAAAATCATTAAAAAACAGAAAGAGTAAACAAAATCATTTAAATTAAAAATATAAATATATTAATAGATGGAATAAATTTTGAGTGTCTTGGCATCGTTTATCAAAATAAATATATTTACACGCATAGAACATATTGATCTTAAAAATATAATAGTAATTTCCAAAATTATACAAAAATACAAAATATCGAGGCAATATTGTATTGCGATAAGACTGAAATTACCTTTAAGCAAAATAGGTGATGGAAAACAATATATTTGGTTTAAAAAATTATCTTAAAATATCTCTTCTTTCGTAAGTAGCTCGCTGTGCATCCAATGGAAATATATTTTGGTGTTGACTATGGATGACTCTTTTAATAAGCTGGGGCTTGAAAGTCTCCACCCATGCCCCGCTGTTGCTGTTGACCGAATGGCGGCTCTTGATAAGCGGTGTCGGTGGCATCCGGATAGCTAGTGTATCCCGTACCGCCCACAGGATCTGCCTCGTAACTCGGAGCAAACGCCGCGTCAGTACCTTGTTTGAATCTTTGAAACGCGAACCAAGCGCAAGCAGCCTGTAACAACAAATTTGCAATACATTCCTTGAGATTTGTTTAGGCAAATATGCAGTTGAAGTTGACATGCACGTGGATATACATGTTATATAAAGAAAACAAAATACACACATACACACATTCTAAATATTTTACTGTAATGCATACCCAAGTAAAGATAGAGAAAAATGAGAATGCAATAGCCGCTTGTAAATTATTTACGCCATATCCTTCTTCCGGGTTCGCAGACTTGCTCCATGCATTTGTCAAATAACAGAATCCCACAAAATACAAGAAAGACCAAAAACCTGAAAACCTGCAATTACAATATTAGTATGCACTATAGAAGAATTATATCCTCTCATTATCACTTCACAATTAATTATAATAATTCTCTGCTTACCCTAAATCTATAAGAACAAAATGTTTCCTAGTTTTGACAGATGACATCTGTTCAAACAGGTATTCACCTGCAAGGAATCCGATACTAGCTAAAAATGCCAGTACACCAATACCAATTCCGTAATTACACGCATTGTTGTCATTATTGTAAAGACAGACTTCTTTCCCATCGTTTTTTGGAAAATATCCCTTGCTGCTTATGCATCCAAAGACGATTATTGCAAAGAGCTATTGCAAACATAACAGATTTTCTTTGTAAGAACATAGTTTGATAATGGACATTAAATAACCAGATTATTAAAATATATATATAGATATTCCTGGCACATAGTGTAAGAATTATACATACGTAAAATTAGAATGTATGTTACGAAGTATTAGTAGCAAATTATTGTTAATATACATATAGATATATGTATATATTACACACACATACACATAAGTATGTGTATGTTACACACATATACACATACATACATATACACACACACACATATGCTAGTAGTTAATGTGTATCAAGAATCCAAAATATATCAAATACATTTAAAACCTTCAACAAATACTTAGTTCTATATAAGATTCTCTTTAGATGTAACTTTATTTTTAATTATTTTTTTATATGTTAACTCTTTGACTTGGCTATTTTAATGGTGAATCTTGAATTATCTGATAATCATATGAAATTATGTTGTAAACATCTCAGTATATTCCATGTTAATAAGAAAAAAGTATTTCTATCGACGAAAGAAAGTGAAGAAAAGAAACGACAAAACGAAAGAGCAAGCGAGCAACGCTGTCGATGGAGGATCGAGCACAATCAGGCGGAAGATCCGCACCGATCTGTATTCCGCAACTTTCATCAAAGAAAAAAGCAAGAGACTTTATCAGATGATTGATTTGTCAAGACGAATCTTATTTATAGTGTACACTAAAGCTTCATGATGACACACGGGGCGTACCGCTTGAATTTGCGAAAAATCAATAGAACCCCATTGTGGGCGGGAGTGGGGAAGAGACGGAAGACTCTTTTAAAATCAATGGCCATCCGCATCGAGATGTTCTTTTTCTCTCGATGCCGAAAGTCGCGATCGCGCGTCTAATCCTCACGACTGCGAAAAACTTACCAGACATATCGTTCTCAGAATGACCTGTGGCCTCTGCACAAACGCGATCGGATCGAAAGGGGCCCCTGCCTTTCCGCCGCCGTACGCTCCACCGTCCATCTTAGTACGACTGACGTGAGAATTTAAAAGCTCTCGCGCAACGGATAAGCACGCATGCGCCGTTGCTGCCGTGCTATCAACGGAGAGGTGCAGAACCATATATGTAATACTTCTAGGCTGCGTTCCAAAACTCTACTCTGAGTAGCTGAGTTGACTCTACGCCGTTCCAAAACGCGAAGTAAGTAACTATATGGGCGGAGCCTATTCGTTCTAAAAGTAAGGATTGAGTATACCCGGAGTCAACTCTATTAACCCTGCTTTCGAGGTGGGTTGGAAGAGTAAACTCTAAGAAAAGCGCGCTATTTTTAATAGTGATTTAGGTTGCGTTCCGTTTCACGCATATGCGCGCATATGCGTGAAACTAAACGTAGCTTTAGTGAATTTGATCACTCGCACTACGCGATACTTGTCAAACAATGGCTGTTCAACCACTAATTGAAGATGTACATACACTTATCGTCAACGACGTTGGACCATTAAAAGAAAATGGATCATTTTGGGTGATGGACAGAAGAAGTAAGTAAAAAATGCGATTTTTATTCAAACATAAAGGTTAGGTGGTCACACATAGCTTATTTCTTGAAAAATAATATTACTTAAAACATTATAAATAATGTATATTTTAATATTGCATATTGTATTTTAAAGATAATATCTGTGTATATAGTTAATATAATATAAATGAGATATATTTTTAATATGTATTTATTATTGTTTATAATTTAATTGCTTTATGTATTTTTGTAGATAATAATATCTTTGCAGTACCCGATATACCGATAGTACGGGAATTCTTTAAATTAAATCTCAAAGATATATCCTCAGATGACTGTCCCAAAGATATATCTTCAGAGAGAGAGAGAGATGACTGTTCCCAAGATATATCTTCAAATGACTGTTCCAAAGATATATTTTTAGATGACTGTCTAAAAAAAGGTCTATTAATCTATTAATCACTAATTGTTCTTGTTAATTCTTTAAAGCTTGTATCAGACTATGCATTAAAAATTGAAAAATTAAAGATTGGAATTTGACTAATCAGAATAAAATGTGAGTTCAGATTTCTTTGTTTCTTGATTAAATTCCAATCTTTAATCTTCAATTACAANTTTTGATATATAGTCTGATAGTCAGATTGTGTTGATTTTTATTATTTATTATAACATTTCTTAAATATTTAACGATTATAAGATTTATACATTAACATTGTTGATAATACATACTTATAGATTTAAGTAAAAATGTTACCTACAATTGCGTCGAAAATATTGAAAATATCTCTGATAATGATAAAGATCAAAGTGGTGAGTTAAAATATATACTAATTATGCCTAAATAAGTTACATATTTTTATTATTATCTTTACATATTCACAATTATATTATTTGTATGTTATATTTATTTCTTGTTATAGCTACACATTGGGAACATTCAGCAATTATGCTTCTTTTTTATTTATATAAAGATCATCTTCCTTTATTCAAGAATGATAAAATTAGGAATAACATTGTGTGGAAAAAAATTGGGAATTGCCTAAAAGAAAAAGGGTATACGTATACTGTAAAGCAAATCGAAAATAAATGGAAAAATTTAAGAAAAAATTATATTAAAGTAAAAGATCATAACTCAAAGTCCGGAGCATCGTATAAGAAATGCAAATACTATGATGAGATGGAAGAGATATATGGAAAATCTCCTATTGTACAGCCTGTAGCTCTTGCATCAAATTTGTCACAAAAAGTTTCATCTTTTTCATTTGATGAAGAGCAAACATCTGATGAAGACAGTGACATAGCACCTCCTCCGAAAAAAAGTAAGATGGAAAAACAATTGCATGCATTAACAGAATATATGGAAAAAAATGAAAAAGCAAAAGAGAGAAGGCATAAAGAAAGACTGGAATATCAAAAGGAAGCTGTAGAAACTTACAAGGAAGTAATGAGCAAGTTATTGGAAAAATTGTAGTTTAAACATTTCCTTACATTTAAGCGCTTTTATTTTTTTTAATTTTTTACTTATAAAATGAAACATTCCAAAGTAACATACTAATTATTCAAATTAGATATTTTTATGTTTCTATGTTATCATATATTGTATGTTTGTATGTTATCATATATATATCATATATTATTTGATGACCATTGTAAAGTGTTCAACAACATTTATGTACAGAATAAGCTGTCTCCTATGATAAATTCTACTTAAGCGAGTACTGTGATTTAAGACTATTAAAGTGAGTACTGTGATCAGACATTAGCAAAAAAACTAAGTATTATAAGCTGTTTTAAAAAATGGCAATTTTATGTTGTTAAAAGTTAAGGAAAAACCAAGTTAGGATAGAGACACAAAGTTAATATATAGATGTTAAAATTAATAAATATATCAATATTTTTAGTTGACCTGATAATCAGAGCTTTAATGGTTTTTCTATATCAAATATTAGATTATTGATATGCATAATAAATAAGATATTATGTGCTAAAAAAATTTGGACAAGATAATACTAATAAACAATATAAAACAGAAAATATAATATATTTATTTTACAACCCANATATATACATACATATATAGTTTTCTACATACATTAAACTACAATCATTATATTCTTCTTTCATATAAAAGTAATGCAAAATAATTACGCTTTGCTTCACCCTCATCATCATTATCTTCACGCTGATCTCCATCCTGCTCATTCTCTTCAAAATCTTCTATATCTTGATCATTTTCTCTACCTTCTAAAATATAATTTTCAATATCATCAATATTCTGTAAACATATATTATGAA